GGCAGAATGCCGGAAGCGCGGCGGGAGACCGCGCGAGCGCCCCGGCGTCCGGAGCAGAGGTCCGACTACGAGCTTTTTAACTGCAACAATTTTAGTATACGCTACCGGAGCTAAAATTACCGCAGCGGCTGGCATTAGTCTTGCCCTCCGGTAGGTCCTCGTTAGGGGGTTTAGAGCGTACTCATTCCGATCACGGGGTCTCGATGAGTCCCGTATCGTTATTTTTCGTCACTACCTCCCCGAGCCGGGAGTGGGTAATTTGCGTGCCTGCTGCCTTCCTTAGATGTGGTAGCCGTCTCTCAGGCTCCCTCTCCGGAATCGAACCCTGATTCCCCGTCACCCGTGGCGACCACGGTAGGCGCATGACCTACCGTCGACAGTTGATAGGGCAGACACTTGAAAGATGCGTCGCCGGGACGGGCCCGTGCGATCTGCCAAAGTTACTCAGCTTCGGTTCACGTTTCCGATCCCCACCCCGAGAGGAGGGGCCGGTCACAATCTAATAAAAGCGCTCGTCCCCCGGAGGGTCGGAGCTCGGCTGCATGTATTAGCTCTAGAATTGCCACAGTTATCCAAGTAACGCGTCACGATCCAATGAACCGTGACTGATTTAATGAGCCATTTGCGGTTTCGCCGTCGGAGCGGCAAGTACTGAGACATGCATGGCTTAATCTTTGAGACAAGCATATGCTACTGGCAGGATCAACCAGGTATCCTTCCATTTCCTTTCGTCGAACGGCGAGCGGAACAGTCCGCACGCCGCCGGCCTTACACTTCGGTTCACCATCCACAATTTCGACGTGCGCAAGGGAACGCAGTCTGAAGCGTTCGCTTCCGTAGATTTCGAAAGAGCCGTCGGCCATCGCAAGGATCAGGCCGGCTCCGTGGCAGATCAAATGCGAGACTCGCCGAAGCCTCCGGAGAGGCCGGGCGAGCCGAGCAGAGAGACAGGTTGTGTCCCGCCGAAGCGGGAGATACACGGTCCCGGCGAACCCAGCACGGGACCAATCAGAGACGGGTCACCCCATCGGAAGCAACCGCCGGTCCGCAGAGCTCGACGAAACTAGGACGACGGCGCCTCCCGCCCGACAACATGGACACGTTGCAGGCTTCGCACGCGACGTCGTCGTCGTTCCGCCTCGCTCCGCAGTCGACGGCAGTCGCCTCGACGAGAGGCAACACCGCAGTCCGGGACGATCTACTCGAATGCAGTTCCGCGACGATCCACTTCTCCGCGACCATCTGATGGAATTCACCGCGACGACACACTCTTCCGTCAATCTCCTACGGTCCTCTTCCGTCAATCCCCTACGGTCCTCTTCCGTCAATCTCCTACGGTCCTCTTCCGTCAGGTCCCCTTCCTTCCGTCCGGGCCGGGGGCAGGTCCTCTTCCGTCCACTGACAGGCTTCTCCTCGGGGATCCGTCCAACGCGTTCCTCCTCCGGACCCTAACCTACGACGCGGCTGGCCAGAGAGAAAATCCTTCGGCAGCCTCCTGGGAGGCACCATTCTAGAGGCTGGTCACCCCATCGGAAGCAACCGCCGGCCCGCAGAGCTCCACCGTATTCCGACGACGGCACCTCCCGCCCGACAACATGGACACGTTGCAGGCTTCGCACGCGACGTCGTCGTCGTTCCGGTCCGCTCCGCAGTCGACGGCAGTCGCCTCGACGAGAGGCAACATCGTGGTCCCGCCGAAGCGGGAGATACACGGTCCCGGCGAACCCAGCACGGGACCAATCAGAGACGGGTCACCCCATCGGAAGCAACCGCCGGTCCGCAGAGCTCGACGAAACTAGGACGACGGCGCCTCCCGCCCGACAACATGGACACGTTGCAGGCTTCGCACGCGACGTCGTCGTCGTTCCGCCTCGCTCCGCAGTCGACGGCAGTCGCCTCGACGAGAGGCAACATCGTAGTCCCGCAGAACGGGACGATATACTACGATCGTCCCGGCTGTCAGAGCACGGGACGATATAAATACGATCATCCCGGCTATCAGAGCACGGGACGATACACCACGATTGTCCCGGCGAACCCAGCACGCACGGGACGGGTCAGACACGAATGCCCCTTCCGAAGCGACCGCACGGCTCACCGATTTCCGACGCGAATCCCACCTGCCCGTTCCAGGTTTCGCTCGCGACGTCGTTACGGTTCGCTCAGCAGTCGACCTCCTCGGAGGCGGTCCCGGCTGTCAGAGCACGGGACGATATAAATACGATTGCGTCCCGGCTGTCAGAGCACGGGACGATATAAATACGAACATCCCGGCTATCAGAGCACGGGACAATAACACATGCCCCTTCCGAAGCGACCGCATCGCTCACCGAATTCCGACGCGAATAAAACCTGCCCCGTTCCAGGCTTCGCTCGCGACGTCGTTACGGTTCGCTCAGCAGTCGACCTCCTCGGAGGCGGACCCGGCCGACAAAGCACGGCACGGTACTCGGGCGGCCGCGCGGCCGCACGAGGGGGGTGACGTAGCAGATCCGCAGAGCTCGCCGAATCCAGACGTCACCTCGCAACCTGGGCACGTTGAGAGGTTTCGCACGCGATCCGGTTCGTTCATTGGAAACCAGTCCACCACATCATTAGCCTCAGATCCAACCCACTCGAGTGGTGTTTCGATCATGACTCTCTCAGACCTGTCATCCTCAGACAGGTCCTCCCCATATAGGGTATCGACCTGTCCAGATATCTTGGAAACGATTTCGATCTGCGGTCCTCCGCGGCACCGGGCGTCCGGGGAGGAGGGGAGGGGAGAGAATCCTGCCCCACTTCTTTACCTCGAAATCGTGGGAACACCGGAATCCGAGTACGGAAAACGTCGCGCCCCGAAGGGCTCCGGGCGACGACAGCACCACCGCCCGACCTCGGCGGCGGGGTGTCGTGACCGCGATTCCGCCGGGGCACCACTCTTCCGGTTCCTTCGCAGGTACGGAGAGAGCTGTGCGTCGTCGGAACGAAGAGACCGCGAACCCGCCGCCTGGACCGGACCGGCGAGTGGTCGTGACCCCGGCTCCGCCGGAGCACCACCTCTCCCGTTACGACGCAACACCACTCTCCAGAGGCACGGAGAGAGTGGTGCGTCGTCGGAACGAAGAGACCGCGAACCCGCCGCCTGGACCGGACCGGCGAGTAGTCGTGACCCCGGCTCCGCCGGAGCACCACCTCTCCCGTTACGACGCAACACCACTCTCGAGAGGCACGGAGAGAGTGGTGCGTCGTCGGAACGAAGAGACCGCGAACCCGCCGCCTGGACCGGACCGGCGAGTGGTCGTGACCCCGGCTCCGCCGGAGCACCACCTCTCCCGTTACGACGCAACACCACTCTCGAGAGGCACGGAGAGAGTGGTGCGTCGTCGGAACGAAGAGACCGCGAACCCGCCGTTGCAAAATCAACGGCGAGCTGTCGTGACTCCGACTCCGCCGGAGCACGACGCGTTCCGTTTCGCTCCGAGGCACCGGCCCGAGGGGTGCCCCGGCGGAACGCAGGGACCGCGAGCACGCCGCCGGGTCCCGGGAGGGCCACCTCGCGTTATACCAAAACGCGAGAAGGAAGCTCGAGAGCGCTCATCCGAGGACCGTCGACATCATTCGTGCACTCGCACCCCGCCCCGAGAGCGAGAGGAGAGCTCCTGTCGAACCTCGGAAGTGCAGCTCGATCGAGCACACACCTCCCCCTATATAGGGCAACTAGCGTGCCAGCTATCTTGGAAACGTTCTTCGTCTCCGGTGCGCTGCGGCATGATGCTTGCCGACGGGGAGGGGAGGGGACAGAATCTCGTGCAGTTTCTTAGGCAAAATGTGGGACCAAAAATTCATTTTTCGAGAAAAAATGGAAATTTCCAAAGAACTCTCGACAGACCTCGCGCTACTTCGTTTTCAGGACCACTCGCCGAATTTCGGGGTCCTGGGACCCTTTTTCGGGGAGTTGATTTCGGGGGTCCCGAAACTTCAAAAATTCGTAACTCGGGAACCGAAGGGAATTTCCGCTCGAAACCGGTACCGCGGAAGGGGACCGGGGATCTCCTTCCCCCGTTTCGATCTCGTAGCCCTGCCTCCAAGGGGGTCCCCTGGGGGTCCCTTCCGAAAAACGTTTTTTTTCTGCCCTTTTCGCCCCTAAATCCTAAACCGGAGCCTCCGAGGACTTCTTTCTGGTACGGATCGAAAGGCCAGGTCGCGGGCCTCCCGAAAAAATTTTTTTTTAAAAATTGGCTCCTGCGGGGGCCCCGTGGGGGGGACCCTAGCTGTACCTTGCGCGGCTTCCCGAGGCCCCCCCGATCGTCGTGGAGTCTCGAAAAAAATCGTGCCGGTGCGTCGCGATGAGGCGCACCTCGTATCGGAGTCTCGTAATTTTGGAACCTACGGGGGCCCCTGCAGACGCCGGGCCCCGAGACGACACGACGCCCTTTCCGGAAGGAGAACCCGCCGTTCGATTTCGATCGGGAAGATGTCGATAGACGCGTCTCGACGGGTTCTACCTCGGTACCCAATTCGGAGGCGATCGGACTCCTTGCGGGGGCTCCCGGGCCCGAAAAAAAAAATTTTGAGGGCCCCGGAAGGGAACGCAAAAAGAAGTTACGGTCCGATTTCGTCGATCGACCCGTCCAAATGTGCGTATTCGAGAGCTCTTTCGTTTAAAATTAAGTTTGAGTCGCTAGCCCTCTGCGTTCGCAAGTAATTCGAAAACGTTGCGTTTCGAACCCGGGACTTTGAAATTTTCGCGAAATTTCGAAATTCCGCGAATAAAAAAAAAAGTTTTCAATTTATTTCTACGAAAGGCACCTCCGTCGATGCGTGTCGACCGGGTCTATCGTCCGACACCCGATTCACGAAATTAGACCCTTTCTTCCGGGAGTTATTCGAAAACGTTGCGTTTCGAACCCGGGACTTTGAAATTTTCGCGACATTTCGAAAAACCTCCTCCGCCCGTAAAACGCGAACCGAACGAGTCACGGGCTCTAATCTTCGCAGGCGGGTAGGTCCCGTCGAGAGGAACCCGAAAATACGAGATTCGGGATCCTGGCCCCGAATCCGGGCCCGCTACGAGGCGGGCCCCGAAAACGCTCCCGGGCCCCCAGATCGCGAACGGGCGTCCCGGGACGCACGAGAAATTTATCTCGGGTAGAACTCGACGCCGCCCGCTTCCCCAGCGATTTTCGGAGCCCTGCCCGCAACGGGGGGCCCCGTGGAAAAAGGGGCCCGAGGTCGCCTTCGGGAGGCCGGGGACCCGAAACTTGATGGAATTTCGGAATTCCGATTTCGGATTCGAGCTCGTCTCGCCGAGACGGACCGGAATCTGGATTTCCGGGAAGATCCCGCGAGCGGTTCCGAAATTAAGAGCGGGAGAAGGTGTTTTTTTTTTATTTTCCGGGACCGGAAACCGCGGTTTTTCCGCCCTGTCCGGAGAACCGTTCCGAATGGGGAAAAGAGGACGACGTGCCGGGACGGCCCCGGAGGTGCCGCGTCGGAAGAGCTCCTTTCCGGTTCCGGGAGTCGACCGCAGCGCCCCCTGCGTCCGTTTTTCCCGTTTTTTTCCCATTTTTCCCGGAGGGCGAACCCGCGGGATTTCCGTTTTTTCGACCCCGGGGTCGAGCGGGGGACCGCCCGAGGAGCCCTCCGAAAAAAACTCGGGGTCCCGGCGGGTCTTTTTCGGCGTTTCGGAGAGTTCGGAAATCGAAAGAAAAAAAAATTTTCGAATTTCTC